AAATAAATAACATAAGTCTCGAGCATGTATGTGTTCACGTTTACAAATATAAACAATAAATGTATGCTTCTCAAGAATAAAGATAAAGTATATACGTATCTACAATGTAGAATCAAGAGGGATAACTTATTAAATCTTTATATATGTTATTGAGATATAATGTGTCCTCTTTTTTAATGATTGTGTGTTTAGTAGACTGTATGTACAACATTTCTAATATTAATCTTTTTTTGCCTCTTTGGTTTAGGTGTATAATTTTTGATTCAGAAATATTAAAATTGTAATTTTTGTATGTATTAAGTGACAACTAGTTTATCTTTCTTTATACTTTTATAACCACTCAAGCGTTTTTTTAATGTTCTCTTTGTTTAACCAACATATGATGCAGCGCAAGAATCGCAAGCAAAATGATAGATGGCATTCATTTGATCGAACTAGTCAATTTTATACTTTCTAAGAATAATGACAGTGGCGCAATTATTTTTAATAATAGGGTGAAATCGTATATTTAATTTTTTTTACAGGTTTTCAAACAAAATTTAAGAAGTAGTGGGTTGTATAGAATATAAATCTTCATTTTATTATGTAGATCGTCGTAGAATAAGCTGTTATTATCAGTATCAGTATTTTCTATTTGGTTAAGTCTTTTCTTGATATTTTTTTGAATAAAAAGTTTGCAATAACTTTTAATGATAGGAGGTAGTTTGAGATAGAATTAATCTTTCCATCAGGTAAAATTGGCTTAACGTTACAATTAAGGGTTATTTTTTAACTTTTATTTGTTATTGTTGTGTCTAAGAAACTTATATCATTGTTTTTCTCTACTTCGCAAGTGAATTTTAAGTAATTGTCCTAATTCTTAAAGATCTCTAGAAATAATTGTGCCTTGTCCTTATGTACGCATATAAGAGTCTTGTCAACATATTTTTTATAAATTAAGGAAACACAATAATGATTTTTTTTTCACAAGCGCAGGGTTTCCGTCTCAAAATGTTCTGAAACTAAATCAGCAAATAGTGAAAATACGCAAGAACCCATTGGGTAGTCAAACATATCTTTATCGAATTTTTTATTAAAAGTGAAATAAACATTATTAAACAAAAATTTGGTTCTTCCTTTAATATCATGATAGAGAATTTGTCTCACCTACATATGATGAAGCCTAAGAACTACAAGCGAAAAGATGGACGGTATTAGTTCTATCGAACTTGTTAATTTTATCCTTTCCAAGAATAATAACAATTTTGTTTATTTGGAATAATAGGATGAAGTTAGATCTTAAATTTTGTTAAAGTTTTCGAGCAATGCTCGAAAAATGATTGGTTATAAGGAATACAAGTCATCATTTTATTATGTAGATGGTCAGAGTTAGTTGTTGTTATCAGTACTAGTACTTGTCATTTGTTAAAGCTATTTCTTGGTGTATTTTTGAATTAAATTATATATATAAAATATGGATTGTCACTTACTACAAAACTTAAGACCTTGCAGAAACTACATTGCAATTTGACTTATTGTATGGACCAATTCAAATCGATGATTGCTATGACGTATTTTCATTCTTAGAAGAAATATTTACAATGTTAAACAAAAAATTAATGATTAACATCCTAAGAATTTACTAATTTACAGTTTTATAAGCAGTATATACTTTAACAATAGATATGATAAACAAGGACTTAATCGTTTATATAAGAATAAATTTGTATCCATACAAAAATCATTTAACCAAAACTCGTAGAATGATAACAATAAAAACGACAAAATGTTCTGAAATTGAACAGATCTTTATGTACCAGAAAATGTTAAAAATTCTGTAGCAATAAGATCAAAGTTTGCGTTAAAAACACAGTCTGTATGAAGCAGTAAAATGATTCAACCAATAACGAATATTAAATATAGTTTGCAAAAAACTAACCATGTTAATAGTGACATAAAAAGCAAGATAAGAACAAAAATCACGCAAGCTATGAAAATGTGCAACAATACAAAATTAAAACTAGAGAGCATCAAACGTTCAAATATTTTTAATTTTAAATGTACAAGAGCATTCCTTAAGAAGAACAAAGACATTATGTGAACTTTTTTAGATAAAGAAAATGTGACGCCTTGACAAACAATTATACATACATAACATGGAGTTTATGTAAAGCGATAATACTACGTACATAATGGTAAATAGAAATCCATTTAATAATGGATCATTAGAAGTTTAGAAAATTTTAACAAAACTCAACAATATATTATATTCTAAATATTAACATAATAACAATCAATCAACACAAAATGATACAGTTTTTTCTAGATGTTATGGTTTGACAAAAATATATTAGCCTTCTTTATAGTTCAGACCTATTATTTCTTTGGTTAATTCTCAAACACACACACTTGCTTCAATTCTCTATAGTCCTTTTTCTTAAGTATTTAAAAAACTTTTTAGGATTGAAATAATAGCTTTAAACTTATAAAACAAATTAAACACCTCAAAAAACCAAAAAATTATATTTTTATTTCTTTATATGTTATTTTTCTGTTTACTTATATTTTATTTAAGCAAGTTATGAATAGTGTAAAAAAAGATACATACAAATTCACAGATTAACGGAAATCCTCTATCGTTAAATCATAGAATATAAAAATTTTTAAAAAATAATATTGACTTTACCTTTAATAAAAAATTCTATAAACAAGTTTTCGTGAGCCCAATGGGTTTTCCTGTCTATTTACTGTTTGTTTATATATATTTGAAAGATCTTAAGATAGTAGCCCTCTGTTTATTAAAAAAATGTCATGACTTTTTTTTCTTTTTAAATAAAAAATATGTTGACGACACTCTATTATGTGTACATAAGGACCAGGCACAACAATTTTTAGAGATTTTTAATACACAGGACAATAAATTGAAATTTACTTGCAAAGAAAAGAGAACACACCAGTTTATGAATTTTTTAGACATTACTGTTACATATAGAAACTTGTAAATGACCACGAATTTTGACGTTACACTGATTTCATTTGACAGAATGGTTAATTTTAATTCAAACTAAGCCTGATCAATAAAAGTTAATGCGGTTTACGGTTTATTTGATCGAGCTATTATTTTGTCTGATAGATCCTACCACAATGATAATATTCTTATCGCTAAAAGAATGTAACGTGATAACAACTATACTTAACTTTTTATACAAAAAAACATCAAAAAAAGACTTTACCAAATAAAAAGTACAAATACTGATAATAACAACTTATTTAGCGACAATCTACATGATAAAATAAGAATTTTCATTTCTTAAAATCCACTATTCTAATAATTTTGTTTTAAAATCCTTAACAAATTTGATATACAATTTTATCCTATAATTCAAAATAAATTAGACACTTATTATTCTTGCAAAAGATGGAATTGACAAGTTTAATTAAACTATTGTCACCTATCACTGAGCTTGCAATTTTTGCGCTTTATCATATGTATGTGAGACAAAGAGAGACTCAAAGAAGCACCTGAATAAACATAACTAAAAATAGCACTACAAAAAAAAACTTACCAGTTGTTGTTCAACTCAGAAAAAAATTTAATTATAATTTTAATTTTTTGAACAGATAAAAAAGATCAATTCAAAAAATGTCATACATACACCATAGTAAACACACAATTGATAAAAAAGAAGACACATAATTTCTTAATACCATACATTATGATTTTATAAGTATTCTTTTTCTATTCTACGTCGTAGATACGTACATACGTTATCTGTATTAATGAAAAGCGTATATTTATTGTTTATATTTATACGCAGAAATACATACATGTTCGATACTTATGTTATTCCTTTGAGTTGACCGACAGTCTGTAACGTTCGTCATAAAATTAAAGATGTTAGTTATTATTTAATTTTAAAAAGTTATTTATATCTAATATATAATTACTTACATAAAATCATTTATTGGATTAATAAAAATATTGTTAAGAGTGGCCCTACAATGTAATTCACGATATGTGTTGTGTTTCTATGTTAATAAAGTGAGCCTGATACGGTTGGCTTGTAAAAAAAAGTTGTTAGCTTATTGTTTAATGTTCTAGTAAAACTCTTTGCATATACATTATAACTTACTTAAGTTTTTTTTTTAAATAGCATCCCAAGTAAAGCCTGGTGTTGTAAAATAGCAGCATCTAATTTGTATACCTTTGGGCAATTACTACAAAAATTTTCAAAAACTTCTGCTAATAGAAGCACATCTGTCTTGAGGTATAAATCTAAATACTGTCTGAGGTTTGCTACATTGAATATTCTTCATATTGTTTCTTGCATGTATATCATCCTCCGCACTTATATGAGTGTCATATAATTTGCTAAAATAACCATTCTTTGATGGAAGTACAGTTTCATGAAGTTTTTCAAATGATATTACGTAATTATATGAAAACACACATTTTCTTTTAGGCAATTTGATTAAATCTATAGAGTATGCACTATCTTGACTAAAAGTAGTCTCTAAAATATTATGCTGTTTCAAATAAGATGCCAACTTATCGAGCGATGAAGGTAAAAATCAACAAGAGTTAAAAAAATGTAAATTTATTCTCGTTTCCTTAATATATATTATAAAAAAAATACATTCTTTTTTCGTCTGTAGTATAACTTCTACTTTTCCATGAAGATAAGCAACAAGTTCTTGTATGAATAAATGCGCATCATAGCTGCTTAGGTCGTGGAAAACTATGGGTATTGTTCACAAGACTTAGTATTTGAGATTACACTCATTATGTGCAGAGCCTAGCTATCTGAAATATACAACAAAACTGATAAACAAGTTCAAAGAGAAAATAGTATCCATTAAAAAAGTCTAATAGAAAATGTTTACTTTCCAGTAAAATGACAATTATCATGAATTTTATCATCATTTTCTTTATTTGTCGTACATATATGACATTTGTCAGTGTTAAAAAAATTAAAACTTTCTCCTTTAGTTAATAATCTCATTGGTATTATTATACATACTTGGCAAACTTATGGCAAGATCTTACATTCCTTTAACTAACCAGGTAGCTGGATTTTCACAGCTTTCAGTTTCTTTTTATAAGAAATGCATCGTGAGAAAATATCGTTAGAACTGCACTTTACGCAGTATTCAGCACTTAATGCTGTGTGGTGTTGTATTGCTTCGTCACTACTGTGTACTGGTTTTAGTAAACACTTAAAGTCTGCATATACTATAAATGGCACTTGATTTTCACTTCTATAATTTTTAAATTTTAAAATATTGTTACCACACTTAGGCAAGCTATCTTTACTTTTATTGACATTAACACACTCCACTATGTAAATTATAAGTTTTTCATTAGGTTTGAAGTAATGCAGGCAACGATCACGAATGCGTATTTTACGCTTACATTTAGTAAGAGAGCTTTTTTACGAACTGAGATAAATTTTAAACCCACACATAGTGGCAATGGTATTCATCATTATCCGTACAACTAACTCTGCTTTCTAAGCTTTTCTCTAACTCAGCATCTTCTTCTTTATATGCCTCTTTTTCGTATACCTCTTCTAAAATTCTATTATTAGCACGGTTGAGATCATAGTTCGTCTCTTCACTCTCTTTAAAATTTACTTCTTCTGCATTTTCTTCTGCATTATTTTCTTCTACCTCTCACATCATTTCAGAACAATTAAAATCATCATAATCTTTATTGTTTGATTTTTTTGTTCTTCATTTGCTTTTTCCTTATCATTAATTTCTGTATACTGATTTTCTATAAGTAACAAATTTATATACTTAGCCTTTTTTTCAGCTGTCGAATAAAGGGAAAAAGTTTTAAAAGTATTTTTTCTCTTTTCTCAGATACATACATTTACTGAAATATTATTTTATTTTTCAAGTTTCGGTACTTGCTTAGGTTGCACTGGGAATGTTGTCCCACTGGAATCGTAATAATTTTTATATTTTTCATAGTTCGAGACTCGATACGCATTTTTACTTGCTAGATGTAGCGCAGAAAAAATAGCTCATTGAAAATATAGGTGATCCAAACTCTTAACATTAACACAAGCCTTTCTTTTAATTATAGAACTTAGTAGTTTTATGTGAGAACTATTATTCATAGCTTGATGTTTATTTTCAATTTTTACTAAATTTATAATAGAGCGCAGAGTCTACCCGGAATCTCGTTCTTGGAATTTATCAGTGTTAATAGCGATGGATTTTTCAACATTATTTTCAAACCATTCCTGCAAATCAGCAGTATGAAAAATACATTACGACGTAGTGTTAAAGTTCTTAACTTCAGTAGTCATTGTAACATTTTTCACTCGGATAAATTCTGCAGCTAAAACTGTATTAATTTTGAAAGTATGCTGCTAATTTAAAACTTCTGGCATTTTTAAAACAAACTCTTTTTTTGCAGAGTTCAGAAATTTTACCATCTCCAAGTGCTTGCTATTCACAATAATAATAGTTCTTATACGATTCTAAAACGAACTATTAAGCTCTTTTCACATTTTCACACCACAGCAGTATCATCGTCATTATGGCTTGACGTATTAACAAGACCATGTCTTTAAATTTCCAATTTTTCTAAAAGTGTTTTTAAAAAAATTGTTATGAGATACTTAATTTTTGCTTGATGTGTGATGAAAATTTCACAGATTGTCGATAGGTTTTGATGCTTTCAAGCACTATCACGCTATTATCAACTATATCTAAAATTTTTGTTATATTTTTACCATTCAATAGTCGTTAATGTTCTACTCACAATATTTTACAAAAAAACATAAAATTTTCTATACAGTCAGAATTAGCAGAATTTTCAGAAAGTTGCTCCATGATACGAACACCGATTTCTAGCGTCCTCAAATAATCTCTGTGGTGCCTTCACATATGTTTTAAGCTATTTCGTTACGTAGATTAAAGAGCTACCTCGTGGTAGTGCAATAGATTGTGGGGCTATAATACACGTATTGGGTATAAAAAGAGATTGTAAGTAAACATTAAAATTAATTGGCTGTAAGTTGTGCTAGCTTAATGATGGCTTATTACGTGATGAATATTCAAGGATTTCAGACTACATTAAACGAATTGATTTTTAAAGAGGTAGGAACTCTGCTTTTAGAGAAAAAAGATTCTACATCAACAGTATTTTTTTTTCAAGCTCCCCCACCCCTTGGGTCATCTAAGGTCTGAAAATAAACGTAAAAATCGATGGTTAAAACAAAATTTTCATGGTCTTCTTTGGGACTCTGAAGAAGTGTCCTATAAAGATTCAATTGTCACTTTTCAGTCCATCATTAAAGAGGATGACGTAATTTATGTTAAAGAACTGAAAAAAAACGAAATGGCTTCATCAAGTGCTTCAATACGTATATAATTTATAAAATCGAATGTACAATAAATGAAAGATAAAAAATAAGAGCTAAGGGACTATTTTCTCCCTTTCAGCTTTATTTACAACTTTGAAGAGTGTTTGTTCCTCAAACAATTCAATATGATTTATGTGACATGTACTAATCATACATTTTAATTAGCCTATTGTACTCTGAACAATGCTACCGCTATAAAGAAAGGTATACTAAAACGAAAAAGGCTAATTAAATAAGCTATCCTTAAAATAATGTTAATGTACAGTAAATTAACAATAAAGAAATTGAAATTATTTCAAAGCAACAATTCTTACTCTCGCATTTTAAGTGTTTCATTAATGATACGAGAAAATTTATTTTTAAAATAAGAGTACTGCTGCAGCAACATTTCTGTAAGCTTAAAACAATAAAAGCGTTAGAAAGAAGGCACGTATTAATAATAAAGCAGCCTTGTTGAGATGTTAAGACTCTTTGGACCAGTATTTACCAAGATTTATAACCTTATAAAAACAATTTTGCAGTGAAAAATGGTTTTGTTGTATGTTACGAATAAAGTTGTGTTTCACAATGCGATTAAACTTGAATTTTTGTTAATTTATACTAGTAAGGTGCTACGAAATGCATTAGTGCAAGAACTAAAAAATGTGCTGTGGATGTTATTTGGATAAATTGTTTTAAACATGGAGACAAGCGTGTTGTTTAAAATTTGTATAAAAAATGTGACATTGCTATTGTTGTAGTAGCCAAAAGTTCATCATACAACTTATGAAACAGTTTCTGTGTGGAACTATTACTCAACTAGAAAAAATAAGAAATTACTGCATAAGACTTTAAATCAAAGTAAGTTTTGTAACTTCACTATTTACATAATCTTATTGTTACTAACTCCGGTAAATATAATAGCTGAGAAAAAAAATATCTTTTTTACCGTTATTGCTAATAAGCACATTAACTTCTACACAAACTAATAAAAATATTTTAAAAAATGCCGAGAACGATAATTAATTAATGGCAGATCCACAAGAATTAAAGAAAACTTGATATCTCAGAAGAAGCAAGGGTTAACAAATTTTCTTATTTCATTTATCATTAAAAGTTGAGTCTATTGTAAATATAGAATAAAATTTTTTTTCTTTCAATGAGAGCTGACTAATTCATAGTTATAAGATTCACAACAAAAGAAGAAACTAAGGCCGCAACAATAATATTAGCAATAACAACAACAACAAAGATCAACCTCAACAGGCCTAGCAACAAGAGCAGCAGCAACAAAAATCTTACTGAATAAGATCCTAGTCTAATCTAATATTTGTTTTATGCGTGAGAAGTTGTAGAGAAGGGATACAGGGCCGAAGAGAAACCAAAGTAGGTCTGCACTCAGAGATGCAGAGGCGTGTGTATAAGTATCCTGCACTAAGAGGATGTCAGAACTGAAAAATTTTTATACTTCTTCTTCTATATAAATATATACCCATGTTATTATTGCAGACTTATATACTTGTTATAACTGTGCCGATTGTACTACTTTAAATGTTGTGTTTATTAATGCAAAGTGAACATATATCTGTATGAACCATTTGGATTATTAAGTGCGTTGTGTTCGAGTGTTTGTATATGTTAGTGGTATTCCACTAGTAACTTTAGAAGTGCACCTATGTATATATAGTGAGCAAGAGTGGGTGGTGACTCAGTCGACTAGGTCATGGATTGGCACGTGGAAGACCGTAGTTTGATTCCCGGCCAGTGTGACTTTTCGGGCAAATACCTCTGTGAACCTTCGTATGTGCTTTTACTCCACGCAATTCTCCTTGAGAAGGGCTTAGGTGACCTTCTCGCAACAAAAATTGCCTCATTTTCCTCTACCCTCCTTATTTAATGGGAGGCCTCCCATCTCTTTCCTTGTCCCTTTTCCAAGTGAGCTAAGTGCCCATAGTAGTGACCTTATTAAAAGAAGGCAAACGCAAAGCACTATAATATTAAAAAAAATCTATATATAGTGATGATGCAACGAGAGAGAGATAAAAAAACCTTTGTGCCTAACAGTCTTCACTCTCCTGCCCACCCATTGTGATCAAGGCCATTACCTACCATCAGACAACTGCCAGGGCTCTGATCTGACTGTCATCTGGTCAAGAGATGACAATGTCAAAGACAGGGAATAGCTAGCGCCAAGGTTACCACTATCAAGGTGTCCGCAGAAAAAGATTGTGCCAAATATGATTAACCCAGAGATAAAATAGCAGCTGGTAGTGTTGCTGTTAAAAAGGTGTGTGTGCGTGTGTGTAGGTGTAGAGCTTACATTTGTGACGATAAGCTGTGGAAGACGACTTCTGAAATCGAGGAAACGAGGGATAAAGTGGTCATCCCATGTCATGCCGCTCAACTGGCACCAAGTTGCTCCGAGATTTCCAGGTCTACATGCCCACGTATATGTTCCTTTTTGTAAAAAATAAAGTAATCTCATTTGATTTAATTTAATTTCTGCCTTCTTCATTTTTTTCTATTCATGCCACCATTCAATAAGCAATGCAAAATAATTATGAAAGCGTTTAGATTAACAGGCCATCTGATTACCTTTTAAATTTCATCCCTGAATAAAAATTTATTAACTTCAGATCAATAAAACAGTTGGAAAGCTTTTGTAATAAAGAAACTTTAAAGTATAATCGAAAACCGTTATT